TTAAAGTCGCAGCTCAAGTTGTTTCTCAGCGTTCGTCAAATGAAACACGTTCGTCTTCTTGCAGACGATCGACTGTTTTACCTTCAACGCTGCTGACGTTTGATGCTCAGTTCTCGTGTGAGCATAGTTGGAAAGAAACGGATCTAATATTGTCCAGAAAGACATTTGCAATCCCTGGTTACAACTGACGTTGACCATTTTGCACTGTTGCCATGGCAACAAATGGGACGGAGAAAGCGCACAGTGCTACACTAAATGTTTTCCCTGCGTCGGAAGCTGCAATCGATCTGCTGTTAGCACCTACAAGCAAACAGGAGGGTAGATTAGTGTGTGTGTGTGTGTGTGTGTGTGTGTGTGTGTGTGTGTGTTGTCTACCTGAAATGGACTCTGGCTGTTGTAGTTCTTCACTTCTTTGTCGGCTCCACGAACCAACAGCACTCTGGCACAGTTATCCTGAGGAGAAAGAAAACCCGGTTAATAAGAGCGAGAGCAGGTTTTTAAAGCAAACACTGAAATCTTTTCACTTTCCTACTTTGTTCAGGAGAAAAGAGGAGGATTAGCTTCCAGTGACGTGAGCAGAGTTTCCCCAAAAGAAGAGGAAGAGGAGCAGGAAGTGATGAGTGAGGCTGAATGTCTGCACATCGCAGCGCTGACACAGGAATGTGAAGAAAAGACAGAACATGTAGAACCTGTGTGAGGGACGGAGCCTCGCTGGATGTTAGAGTGGATCTACTGCTGCACTCAGAGAACGAGGGAGTGAGAGCGATAGACAGAGAGAGAGAGAGAGAGAGAGAGAGAGAAGGAGAGAGCTGAGGGGTTTGAATCTGCTGCACAAATCGCCCACAAAGTGCTCAACCACGCATGTACCGAGCACACACACATGAATATAAAGACTGTTTTTAGATCCACAATAAGCTGTTGAGAGTTGAAAAAAAAAAAAAATGCTCCGAGTCTCAAACAGATTCTGAAACAGGAGCGTGATGTGAACAGAGCTGTTAGAATCACACACATCTCCGAGCTGACATGTCTTACATCTTATTTTAAGACTTGTGACGCTTCTCCATCTGGAGGGAAGCAATCCCAACACATGTTATATATAAATATATATATATATATATATATATATATATATATATATATATATATATATATATATATATATATATATATATATATATATATATATATATATATATATACTGCATATATATAGGCTGCATGTATGATGAGGCTATGAATATAGAGGAGTGTGATATCATGTACTTCAGAAGATAATAACAAGTAGAGACTGGAGAGACGATGAGGAGGAGAAACCAGGATGAAGAAGCTCGGACATCGTGGAAACGTCTCACGTATTTTATTTTGTGACGGCAGATCGCTCGGTAGAGAACATCGAAACGACCCAAGTGGAAATATTTATCGGAAGTTTAAAAATAAGCAGAAAATGAGCAGAATAATAAAAGTGAAACATATTTTTAATGAGTTTTAACAGGTTTTATGGATGTTGTTTTTTTTTTTTAATAGTTTCTATCACGTCGTCTTTCTTATTTTATTCTCGTGAGTTCAGGGACGGCCCCCAGCTGAAATCTGATTGGCCCTGATTGGCCCTTTTTTAATAAAATAAACAATATTCACATTCAAATTGAATTTGATCATTTGTTGAGAATTTTAATTTCTAAGTTAAAGACTAATTCTAATTCAGAATATTTTCCCTGATGAGTTTCTTTATTTTCCAGCTGTGGAGCAGGAAACCATGTCACGGACGTTGGATGTGAAACTGTCCCCTCTGTGTGACTTGTGGCCCCTGACTGATCAGATCACATCGTAGCATTGTTCAGATGAGAGATAAACAAATACAGTTTATTTTCTTTATAGCTGTTTTACTCTGATTCTCAGTTTAACCTTCACCTCTAGTGGGCGACGGTGAGCTCACAGCTGGTTCACAACAGGAGAATCTCACATGAATTCATTCGATGAATCTCGAACCAGACGCTGCTTCCACCTCCTCCGTCACGTTCTCTAATATTCTCTGTGACCAGTGAACGAAGGATGTTGTTGTGATTTCATAAAGGTGAAACACACAAAGTTCACCTGCTTCAGAAGCAGAATTCTCTTTCTTGAGCGGAACTAACGGTTATAAAGAGTCAATGGTCTCAGATGAGCGACTGCACAAACAAAGGTCAGAGGTCGCTGCTGACGGGTTGAATAAGAGTCATTGAGACGGTTTCGATTCTCCTCTGCACGTTCAGTTGACGGACAAACGGCTTTACAACTTTATTTGTTTGTTTGATGAGCGAAGTCATCACATGTCGGCTGAGGAGCAGAGTTTATCTTCTCGTGGTGAGTGGTTGAGTTTTTCTTCCCTGTGGTCGTTTGTCTTCACAAACCAGAGCAGCTTCAGGCCACATACAGTACTCCTCCCACCGTTCTTAAGATATCGTGTTCACGAGGCAAAAACCTTATTTGTGACCTTGACCTTTGACCTTCAGTTACCAGAACTAATCAGTTATTCTGAGAGTCAACAATCTGACCTGGAGTCAGATTGTTGACTCTCATATTCCTGACGCACAGTAGAGCAGTGGAATGAAACCCAGGTCACGCCTGCTCTCAGGCAGCCATCTTATCTTCATCACTGCTTCAGGTTTCCAGCTTCAAATCAAGAGTCTGTGTTTTTTATTAATCCCATGAAAATAACATTGAATCTGTGTAACCGAGCCTGATTCTTCATTTCTGTTTATCTGGATCAGCAACAACAGATTCTATCACTCGGCTGTTTGAACTCGTTAGAGAGATGCATCGTGAGTCTTTGGATCAAACAGCATTAACTCTTCTTCTTCTTCTAATTTAACATCATATTTCTAAACAGACTTCTGACTTGACGTTGTCTCTTCTCTCAGAAGTGACTCAGTAAAATACTCCGGCCGCACCTTCGCTCTGCAGGCTGCTGTTTCTGCTGCGGACTCGTTCACTTCCTGTTGTTTGAACACACCCTGCAGGGTCTTTGTTCCGTCTCCCAGGGGACGGAACTGTTTGCAGTTCTCTTCTCATGTTATTTATCCTGCTCATCTATTTGAGGCGACTGCAGAAGAAGATTCCCCCAGAGAACAACCACAGAGCCTCAGTCTGACGCTAATCATCATAAACGGTTAAACGAGCCGGCGACGGAGCCTCAGGTACAAACTGAGACTGATGTGGAAGGTAAGATATTATTATCATCATCAATACTAATGAACTATTCAACTAGAGTAAATGATTCTTTAAGTTGTTTCCATGAAGTGAAATAATTTATATATCATCATCAGCATCATCATTTTAACTTTATTTATTTTCTCATCAGAGTTCAGTTGTTTTAGTTTTTCATCATGCGACAGGACGACGCTGCACATTTCTCCTGACACGTATCTCTGCTACAACCATCTGGAAATATTACCAGGTCAATCCAAAACTGGTGTGTGCCGTCATTCACTCACACAGACACACACAAACCAACACACACACCAACACACACGTCACTCACCTGGTTGTACAGGGCACAGATGTGTAGAGCTGTGTTTCCAGAGGCGTTCTGGGCGCTCATGTCCGCTCCATAAAACAACAGATGCTCCAGATGCTGCACGTGGCCATGACGACAAGCCTGCACGCACGCACGCACACACACACACACACACACACACACACACACACACAATCAATTCACTGTCAAGTACAAGGCTTTGATAGTAAGGAGACAGTAGTTGCAGTTGCAGCCCTCTAACACTAGATGTCAGCGTGCTGCAGAGCAGACGAGACCACGTCAGGTGGAGAAGCAGCCGTAACCTCCGTTTGAACCCTGTTCTCCAGAGATGGAGGGAGAGATGAGTCTGTGCCGAGGGAAGATTCAAAATAATCCAATAACACGCCGGAGAGTTTAAATACGACTTAAAGAAAAACAAATGCACAGTTAGTCTGTCGGAGACGACATCAGGCGGAGTTTTAGTGTTTGACCCGAGTGTTAACGTCTGTTTGTACATCATCAGACCGTCTCACAGTGAGTGTACGAGGAATCCTGGGTTTAGCTTTTCTCCTGGAGGAAATTAAAAGAAACTGCAAACGACCAGAAATGAAGCCAAAATATCTCAGATGTGGGCGGCGACGTTTTAATTGCGTTGGTGACGTGATCTGGATCCAGAGTGTTTGTGAGGAGTCGTATCTAACAGTGACTGACGTCATCACTGGTAAACTGTTTGTCTCTCAAAAGCTCCGCGTGTGTGTGTGTGTGTGAGAGTGTGTGTGTGTGTGTGTGTGTGTGTGTGTGAGTGTGAGTGTGTGTGTGTGAGTGTGTGTGTGTGTGAGTGTGTGTGAGTGTGTGTGTGTGTGTGTGTGTGTGTCACTGCTGCAGGGCGGCTCTCTGTAAACGACTCTCTCTCCCTCAGCAGGTAACATCTGCAGCAGCAGCCGGTGACGACTTTTTTTCTCAACACAATCTGTTCCAGCAGTGAAATCAAACAGCGCCTCTCTGAATGCAGCGGCCGGTGTTTACCTGGTGAACCTCGTGCCAGCCGTTCTCGTCCTGGCAGCAGACGGAGGCCTGGTGGCTCAGCAGGAGCTCGCAGCAGCCCGGGTCCCCCCCCACCACCGCGCTGTGGTACAGAGGAGTCAGACCACGGCTGTCCTTGTAGTCCGGAGACGCCCCGAGCTCCAGCAGCGTCTGAGGAGGGAGAGAGTGTGTGTGTGTGTGTGTGTGTGTGTGTGTGTGTGTGTGTGTGTGAGTGTGTGTGTGTGTGTGACAATTATCATCATTAAAATGTTTATTACACAAATAATAAAAAAGCTTTATTATGTCACAAAACACAAGCGACAAGTGATTAAAATTTAAAAACTATGAAAGTTCAAAACACAAACACTGACATTTCAAATCTGTGTCATTAAAGTGATTGAATCTCAGCTGCTGTTAAACGTCTGCACTCAAACCTGACGCTGCTTATTTCTGCATAAACAACATCAGGCAGATGTGGAACGCGTCAGTTCACGGTGACGTGAAGAATCAGCAGCGTGCAGGAGGCGGAGCGCGAGAGACGAGGTTCTGTTACCATGAGCGTGACCTGGTTCTTGGACCGAGCAGCTTTGTGGAGGGAGGTCATGCCGTCTTTGGCCCTGAAGTCCAGGTGAGCTCCTCCGTTCTTCAGCACCTTGATCAGCTCCACCACTCCGTCCAGGTGAGCGGCGAAGGTCAGCGGACTCTCTGCAAAGAGAACGACGACACGAGTTTGAACCCCGAGCAGCAGGTTTATCTTTCTGATCATCTGGTTTGAGTTATTGTCAGCAGGAGGGAACAGCGTTACGCAGGATGTGACGCCGCGCTTTGTTTTATTTTCTTATTTGTTTTATTTTTCAGGAAAAGTCTGTTTCCTTTTTTTTATTTCTGTTTTGTTTCTGCTTTCATCGAAACAGCATCTTGTTAATAACTCCAGCTCCCAAGTGTCGAGGATTTCATGACTCATCATCTGCAAGAAAACATTCATGTCTTTTCTGGAAACTCAAATAATTTATCAGAGAGAAATATAATATAATGATAATGTTTGCTAATGGACTGAAACATATACGAGGTAAATAAAACGGGGCCAAGCGCAGAACCCTGAGGAACCCCATGATTAACTTTGTGCCCACAGATGATTCATTGTTATTTTGTACAAATTGGAATTGAATTGATGAATAAGATTCAAACGAGCTTAGGAAGGTTCCCTCAACACAAACGAACTGTTCCAGTCAGGATGTGAATATCGATGGAATCAAACTCTGCACTCAGATGTAAAAAGACGAGGACAGAGACGTAACGAGGCCGGTGAGCTGTGACGATGTATAAACTGAAAGTCACTCGGCTGATCGGAGTCTCAACAGAGAAACGCAGCTCATCATGACCGACTTGTTTTTGCTTTCATTTTCCGTCTCTTGCTCCAAATGCTCCATGATGTATGAGAACCATTTTCAGTGACTTGGCTCATCGTCGTACAGTGAGTCTCCGAACGTGGCTCCCAGCTGCCTCCTGTGCTTCACTTCAAAATAAAATAAAAGTCTATTTTGGGCTCGTTTCCTGCAGTTGGCTCACATTTCACTTTCTCTGCTCACAGACTGCACCTCGGCTGACTCCAGGCCGCTGAATCATTTCAGTGTATTCGCTGCAGCTCGGTGGTGGATGTGTTTACGTTTGAGTGACACTGTGCTCACCTGCAGAGAGAGAGAGAGGCTGAAGAAGAGTGAGACAACTTCCATATGCTCCCATCAGCCTCGGCTCCTCTACGACCCAAAAAAATGAGCAGCAGGAAGAAAAGAAGAGTTTTTGTTTTATATTGCTGAGCTGTGCTTCAACAGCACAAATCAATAGAAGGTAAGAGCTGAGTAAACGTCTGAATCTGCAGGGACGCATCCGCCCACCTCAGCAATAAGACGTCCATTTAACAGCAGCTCTCAGAGCCCATTAAGACGACCTCTGTTCTCTGCTTTATAATCCTCTCTCCACTGTAGACCTTTTACGTCCATTCTGTGTATTCTGGCCAATCTCCGTCCACTCCACACCGGCTGTTGATAAGAGCAAGTGCACCGTGGAGACACTCTTCATTAAATGGTCATAAATAAACAGAATTGTCGCGTTAATACTCAGGTGAAGTCAACAGCACTTAAACCAGCTCCGGTTATTAAATGGTTGTAATGAGATTTGAATTCAGGCGGTTTCAGACGAGAGTCCAGAGATCGTCCATGAGGGAAATCCTTCTGTCGGTGGACCTCTTCAGAGACGACCGATCCTTCTGCTGTTTGAAAGAAGCAGTTTTGTGGGTTCCATGTGTCGGTGCAGCTGAACCGTGACACAGATGACCTCAGGAAACACAGCTCTGAACCCGACGTGCTGCTCATTTCAACTAAAAGCCTCTCAAAAAAAATATATATATTGCACCTTCACACACTCTGTACTGCAGGAACACAAGAATTTCCCCTCGGGGATGAATAAAGTATGTCTATCTCTCTATCTATCCATCCATCCATCCATGTATGTATGTATGTATGTATGTATGTATCTCTCTCTCTCTATCTATCAAGCTGCTTTCAGACCTGACCTGGACTCTGGAGAATCTCCGGACATTTTCTGTATGTGTGAACGCCTCCAGGCTTTCCTAATAAAAACTCTGGAGGATGTCCGAATGAGCCGATGTGCACACAGCAGGAGATTCTCCGCAGGATTCACTGCGAGCGACTTTATCTGATTTCACATTTCCCTTCATTGACTCTTAATACAGGTTCGAATCCAGCTGATCCACCTCCTCCATCTTCATCCTGAATGAAACCTCTCTGATGCACCACGTGCAGCATCGCTCCCAGTGTGTTATGATCGTGTTTGTTGAGCTGATGTTCACGAGGAACGCTGGTCGCTCAGAGTCACGTTTGACTGGATGAACTTTTGTAAACACCCCAGAGAAGTGAACAAGAAACACAGGGACAGGGATTAAAAGTGTGAAAATGTATTATTCATGTCACGCAGGAGGGTGTGGAGGTGTGTGAAGTTTCACAAGCAGCTTCTCTACTGCTTTTAAATCTGCGGAGGAGTCAGTGGCTGCAGATTCCTGTGTCAGATCATCAGATTAAGGTCGAGCGTCACATGAATTCATCAGTTTTGAGTCTTTTCTTGATTATAACATGAGTGAAATGTTTCCGGTGGACACAGAGGGAAAGTGAAATGGTTTGAATTTATATTATTATTATTATTATTTATATTTTCTAGTCAGAGCTCTTCAGTACTGTTTGTCCATTCACACAGAATGACCTCATCATTTATCACACAGCCGTCAAGAGTAATCTAAGAGTTCAGAAACTTGCCCGAGGACACTTCAGCAACGCAGAATAAGGCTGGGATTGAACTTCCGACGGTTTGGTTAAAAGGGCGTCTCGCTCTCCCTCCTGAGCCACAGTCGCCCATCAGAGTGAGGACTGTGACTGTGTCCTTTTCATTTAAAATCAGTTATTTGGTTTCTGGAGATTTTCCACGTGTGTGACATCTGGTTTGAAATGTTCACGTCCTCTGACGACGACAATGAACAGATCGTGTGAGTTGTGATTTATACAAATAAAAGTGAATTGACTTTGTTGCCGCTGTAACTGGACCAACCACTCGTTATAAATTAGGATTATGGTTCCAGATCTGTCTGTCATTCCTTCTTCCTTGTTTTAACTTTGTGGTTCTAAATGAAGAAACTCATTTTAAAGGTTCAGTCAATAGAAAGAAGGTAAATGCAGGTTAACAAACTGTTCATGTTCCTCTGTGGTTATTCTGCGTTACAAGAGTTTGGTGCCTCACCACCGGTGTCACTGTCGTGGTAGTTGGGATCGAAGCCTCTCTCCAACAGCTTCGACACTTTGTCCTCCTGATTGTGTTGGATCAGGTCCATGAACTTCCTCAGATTGGCCTGTACAGAGAGAGAGAGAGAGAGAGAGAGAGAGAGAGAGAGAGAGAGAGAGCATTACAGTGAGAAGAGAGAACGCTATGTGTGTGTGAGAGAGAGAAAGAACGGACGGAGGTTCAGAGCTGCAGCGAGACTGAAATAGACGATGAGAAAGAGAAAAGGTGCAGAGGGTCAAACATGAGTGAGGGTGAGAAGTGGAAACAGTGAATCTATTAAAGATGGAGGAATATAAAGGTAGAATAAAAGGAAGCAGAGGGGGTGACAGGCTTCAGAGCGGGGGGGTATCGTGCTGAGTGGAATGGCTGCTCTTTTCTCTTCTCTTCCTGTCTGACTTCTTTCCAGGCCGCATGATAAAAATAGATAAGAGAGCAGCTCCCTGAAGGAGAGGAGAAAATGAGGAGAGAAGAATGAGGAGAGAAGAATGAGGAGAGAAGACTGAGGAGGCAGACGAAGAGAAAGACAATGAGGAGAAAAGAATGAGGAGAGAAGAATGAGGAGGCAGATGAAGAGAAAGACAATGAGGGGCAATAAAAGAAAAGGTTGGAAAGATAAGGCACAACAGGAAATGGGGGGGGGGGTTAAAGGAGACATGATGGTTTTCACTGTTTCTTTCCTCTTGTGTGTTGTTACATTGTGATGTCATACGTGATCACGACGCCCCACATTTGCATCATCACGCCAGGACGAAAACTGTAGAGGACGCAAGATTCCAAAGAGCTTAGCGTCTTTAAATCAAGATGAAAGACTTTGGAGGCGGGGACAGCAGCTGAGGCTCCTTTGATTGGTCACTTTGAAACTTCCAGTCCCAGAATCGTTGATAAAATGTTGTTTACACGTCGACCACGATCCAGGGTCAGACCACAAGTGTGTGTGTGTGTGCCTGTGTGTGTGTGTGTGTGTGTGTGTGTGTGTGT